CACTCGCGGGATTTCTGGCGACTGAACGTTGCCGGTGTTTCTCGCTGTTTCTCCGCTGCAGCAGGAGGACAGCCTCGGGTGTGAGAGTCAGAGTGAAACGGACCTCCTGCTGATCCTTGGTTCTCACAGGCTTCACCTGTGAGTCACTCTTTACAGAAGTGTGACCAGAGTGTTTGTGCTGCTGTCTTTTAGACAGACTCTCTGAGCTGGTGACGGGAGATCTGCCTTTCTGGGATGAAGGCAGCGAGCCTTCCCTTCTGTTTGCCCCTGACACTCCTTTAATTGTTGGCAGATTACTCCTGGGCTGACTCTTCTTCCCCAGCTGTTTCAAGTTCAAAGCCAGCCTCTCCTTCACTGAGCCGCCTTTGTCTTCTTTCAAAGCTTTGGTCACAGCAGATACAGATGAAGTGTTGTTGGTGGGTCTCTCCTTCCCAGAGAGTCCTGACACAGAGCGCGTGATGGACACTGGCGGTATGAAGGGCATTTTGGCAGCGCACAGCATCAAGTAGGAGAGGAGTTCACTTTTGCTTGTGAAGTGTCGAAAGAAAAAAAGAAGAGTGGACTAGGGAGGAAAGTGATTTCCTGACCGAGTTGAGATACTCTGATGCATCTTCAGCCATGCAAGGGTCAGCTGGCTGCAAGTGCGTCACTGCCTCGCAGATCCACCAGTGCTCCTCTACACAGGAATAACATTTCCTGATGCCTTATACCTGAGCTGTGAGTGGGAGGTTGTTGGCATGCTTTAAAAAAAAGAAAAAAAAGAAAAGGGCTTGTATGATGCTCATTACCCTGAGGCTCAAACATCTAAAATAAACCTACACCTCTAATCCTCCAGAGTGATTAGTGAGAGCACGTTTACTATGCACAGTACAGGTGCACATGCAGGCCTAATCCTCGCTGGATGTTTGGATGTGCAGTGAACAAACTATGCAAACAAAGGTCACTTGAAACATTAAGCTTTTCTCCCTGCTCTGCATTTTAAATAAAACAAAGAAATAAAGCTTGAAGGATTGGCACAGAACACATTTATTTAATAGGATTCTTACACAATTTGATTAAAACGTTTAAAATATCGAATTTTACACAACAGGAACTCGTGTGCTCTTATGTCTAAACGTGCATTTGACTCCAGCAATTGTGTGTTCACTCGCAGCACCGCTTCTTGTGCACGTGAAGAACCCGTCGACAGCGTGGACAACTGTGGTAGGCGTCCTTAAAGTGGTTTACAAAAAATGGAATCAGGCAGCAGCCGAGCACCAACCTGTGAGGCGGAAAGAACCACATGCTGATCTCTGACTTTTTAGAAATCGAATGTGTGATCGCTGCTGGGGTACAAAAAACAACCAGACTGAAGTGTTTAAATGCCTCTCACCCGCATAACACAAACACAAGACACACGAGCCACGCAAAAGTCCCGGCTTTAAAGGTGACCTCTGTGGTGACCCGAGTCCTGCAGGAGGGGCAGGTTGCCAGACCTGGAGAGCATCGCAGCTCAGCTTCATAGCTCACAAACTTTGCCCTGGGTGTACGTAAAGGGGCATCATACACTGTTGAGAAGAGGTTAAAAATGAATGCTGACATGCAACCTGAAGGGGATTGCTGCTAATTTTTTTTTAATGTAAAACTAAAGTAAAGTAAGTAAGCTAAAGTAATAAATTATTAAGCTATGTTTAAACTTAGCAGTGAGCAAAGAAAATGTGACATTACATATTCAAAATGGAGGTAGAAGAGCCTCTACCTGGTACAGCTGAGAGAATATTGTTGGGCAAGCAAACTCCTGAAGACGAGGAAGGCGGTTGTGGTGGCTGTGCTGGTGGTGGTGGACGGGTGAAAGGTGAGTGGACTTTGTAGACTTTGACATCTTGATCCGATTTACAGTCCTCTGGAAAAATGGATACACGGTGAGGTTTTTGTTTTTTTCAACCACAGGAAAACAGACTAAGCAATGCTTGAGATGAGAGGTTAGTTTTACCTGGTAAGAAGTATGGCGTAGGTGCAGGAAACAGCTTATCCACATTTGATTCCATTTAAAATGCCTGAGGGAGCGTGAGAGGAAAAACAAGAGAAAACTCCTAAAATGTGCCTCCTGTGTTTGCGTCCAGCAGGGATTCATCAGCAGATGTACCAGGTGCTGTTGATTGAATTTGCCTCTGATTGGTTCAAGAAGGTATTACCCATTGTTCAATAGCGCCATGAGCATGTTAAGCAGGTAGAAAGGTCTTTCAGCGCTGGGGCAAACCTTCCCCCAAACAGCCATCTTGCTTAGTTTTATTCCACTGGAAATTGGTAAAAAAAAAAAAAAAATTATTATTATTTTTTTTAACACCAAAGATAATCTGTTCTTTATGAGTAAGACCAGATGTGCTCTATTATGGAAAATAGAGCTCCTCATTTCTTTGAATGCTTATCCTTATCAGGGTTGCAGGGAGGAGCCAATCTATGCTTTTACTGCATTAACAGTGTATTTGTGATCATTGTCATGCTGAAAAATGAAGCCTGAAAAATGCCAATCAGATACTTAACAGACTCTACTGACTTCCAACATATTAATGAAGATTTGGCCAAAAGCTTCACATTTGGACTCATCACTCCAATAAGGCCTGGTGCCACTGATTTTCTGTCCAGTTCTTGTATAATTTGGCATACTTCAACCTTTTCTCTTCCTTAAGATTGACATCTTGATCACATACTGTTTATCTGTTATAGATGGTTTTTAGGCCTACTTCTTCTTTTGTCCTTCACTTGTCCAGTTTCCTCAAACATTTTAAGAACACACTGCCTATCATGCAAAGATATGCCAATTTTTCAGCCAAGAGCTCTTTGGTAATCCTTTCTTTGGTGGAAAAATACTGAAAAAAGCCTGGAGCACTGTTGCTCAAGACCACTTTAAAAAGATGACATGAAAAGCTAAATACAGAGAAACTAGGGGTGGGTCAAGAATTTTACAGTACCATAAATATTTAAAACCTGGTTTTAAAATTCCGAGTCGGTGATTCTGTGTTTTGGCACATCAAATCAAATCAAATCAAATCACTTTTATTGTCACATCACATGTGCAGGTACATTGGTACAGCACATGTGAGTGAAATTCTTGTGTGCGAGCTTCACAAGCATTATTCACACATTATCAGACAAAACACGCCATCTAAGCCTGATGAAGTCCTCTAGTCGTGTTTAATACAACACTGATACAACGGCCACAAGTCTGTGCTGTTTTGTAACCGTTTAAAGCACTCTGGGTAAAGCACCAGAGGAGCTCTTCTCGGGCTAGGAGTAACGTGAGATCTAGCGACGTGAACGAGGTTATTCACTTGAATGTAACAGCTAGCGTAATGATGCTAAGCTAGCTGTCAGCCTGGCATCCACGGGTTTTGCTGCAGAGTTTTAGCTACCGGATGCTCCCAGTCGTATCCTGCTGGCCGTCTTGACATTCCCCTCAACATTCCTGGACGAATTCGTGTCGACTGACCAGAGTCCGCGAATTCAGGTCCACTCCTAATCTAACCTTTCCCCCCGCTAGCGTGATTTAGCTCACCGGCTAACAAGAGTTCAACACTCGGGAGAACCGGACTGACGAGGTAAGTTAGCATATGGAGGCTAGTGGGATGGACAGGCTAATGGTCTAGCTGTCACCGGGAGTAAAGGCTTCTTGTACGAGGAAAAAATAATCTTAGAAAGGAGGCCTTCTGGTAAGCGTGTGGACACAGTCGTTGTCATTATATCCCTCAAAATTCCCCATCTTGTTATTAGGTCTGTGTAACACCGGCGAAATGTGAGCTAGCAATTTGATTGACTTGCTAGAAACGTTTTGCTAATGTTAATTTACCGAGGGAAGCAGCTGACCTAGTAATGGTAATATTACCGGAGCTAGCTTAGCAAGTCCGTACTGGTTTAGAAGAATGTTGTACGTCTGTTTGGGGCGAAAAAGGACTTAAGTGAAAGTCAGCTTGCTAACGTTAATTTGCCATTATTATTTAAGAGAAACTAGTAAAGAAAGCTCCTCGGTGACAGGGTTTATCTAAAGAATCCAAGCTAGCGGCTAACACGTACATTACGAGTTAGGGTGCTTTAAAAGTTAACAGTTAACTAGCTGTCCTATGTGAGCAGTGAACCAGCAGCTTCCATTATGTATGCTGTAATTTGTTTAGTTTTTAAGTCTTAGCAGTGAGCAAAGACTCCTGCTGGCTGGGAGCGTGTTTGCCGTGTTTTGCTTTGCTTTGTGAGTTTTTGCTGTGTGTTTTTGCTTCGCAGAGTTCAACTTAAGGACCACACCCAAACATGTCCCTTCATCAGTTTCTGTTGGAACCCATCACCTGCCACGCATGGAACCGCGACAGGACACGTAAGGCTCTGAGACTGTAGCTATGAGAAATGCTCACTTTAACACAACACATTTCAAGGTTAAGGTCTTAAAGTCTTTGTCTTCATTGGGTGGTCAGATCACAACTACAAAGAATGCTGTTAGAGCAATTTCATCTGAACAGAGATAAGATTGACTCAGTTTATTTTGGGTAACACAGGTTGGAATTTGGCATGTATCAGAAAACTGGTCTAACTTGTTTGTTATCTGTGTGCTCATCCTGTTAACCAGCTGGTTTCTTCTGTTTTGTTTTCCTTCAGAAATTGCCATTAGTCCCAATAACCATGAAGTTCATATCTACAAGAAGAGTGGCAACCAGTGGGTTAAGACCCATGAACTGAAGGAACACAATGGCCATATAACAGGTGGTTAATCAGATGTTTTTAAGACTGATCGTTTGTTTTACTTATTTAACGTGACGTTTCAGTCCACGTCTCACCCAACATGTCAGTAAAATTAATGTTTCTGAAGAATTCTTTAATAAGTAAAACCACAGCTAAGGTGGGATTGTGTGATCCTAAAGGGGTTTCTTTTTGTCTAAGCTATTAGTAGAGTTGTTAGTGACTGCTTTATTGGCTGTGTTATAGGCATTGACTGGGCTCCCAAAAGTGACCGCATAGTGACATGTGGAGCAGACCGTAATGCCTATGTGTGGTCCCAGAAGGAGGGGGTATGGAAGCCCACACTAGTCATCCTCAGGATCAACAGAGCGGCCACCTTCGTCAAGTGGTCTCCATTGGAGAACAAGTTTGCAGTGGGCAGCGGTGCTCGACTCATCTCTGTCTGCTACTTTGAGTCCGAGAACGATTGGTGAGACTATTAATCCAGCAGTGGCATGATTTAAATGCACTGATGTTCTGGTGAATGTTGTGAATAATGTCTTTCTTTGAAAGTGCAGCATTTAAGTTCAGTATTGCCATTTATTTGAATTATTAGTGCATTATTTTGAACCTATACGTCCAGACCAAACTGCTTTACCTCAATTTTCACACCTGCTTTAACAGGTCAGAGCAGCCACACAGCCTGTGTGAAACGCTTATCTGAGGTGTGGCTTGAACTTTCATACAGAAGTGCGTCATCAAGAGTTGGGAGGCATGTCTCTCTCAGCAGTTATAGACTGTGAAAAATTCTGTTGGTAGCCACATTGACTTGCTACCAATATCATTACAGAAATGATACTTATCATTATAGTTATAATAGCGCTACACCTGTAAATGTCATGAACACAAAAGTAGAGTTGAATTTCTTTCGTTGGCATGTTCTGATAGCATTTAAAGAAGAATGAGGGTGATACATGTGTGCTAAGCAATCACAACACAAACCCAGTGAAGGCTATAATTATGTGAGGACGTTAACAGAGCATTAGGTGAAGGGCAGCCTTTCTCTGGTGCTCTCTACTTATCTCTGGCGCAGAGAGAGTGCAGTGCTGCAAGGAAGTCGTCATGCAAATGTAGAGGTAGGGGGTGTGGTCCAGTTTAAAACAAACTGGGAATTGAATGTCTTCACCTAGTGTAAGAGCAAAGCGTTGCATTCCAACCAGCTGATGAAGATACACTCCCAGGATTAAAGGACTTGTTTTTTTTCCTCCACCCTGTACTTATTACTTCCCTTTTATTTTTGCTGTGCCTCATAATTGATGAGTCGTTTTTTTGTTTTTGTGGGGTTTAAATATTTACATGTCCTGCTATAAAAACTTTGCTTCTTCGTGTGGTTTTAGGTGGGTTAGCAAGCACATCAAAAAGCCAGTTCGCTCCACCATCCTCAGTCTGGACTGGCATCCAAACAATGTCCTGCTGGCTGCTGGCTCATGTGACTTCAAGTGCAGGTAAAAGATGGTTCAGGAGATGAAGATTAGAGTATTGAAAACTAGCTAGGCGGCTTTGTCCGGTTTCAATTTCTGTTTTTCATGCTGTCTTCCAGCCCGCTTCCTTGCTCATCTCTCCCTCTCTGGTCTCTAGGGTGTTCTCAGCCTACATTAAAGAGGTGGAGGAGAAACCAGGCCCCACACCCTGGGGCAGCAAGATGCCATTTGGGGCTGTGCTAGCAGAATTTGGAGGAGCAGGTCTGACACCCCCCTCTGCTCCCCCCCCCCCTTTTTTTATTATTTATTTATTTATTTTTAGCCTTGTCGATATTCTTTTACAGTTGCTCTGTGAACTTACCAATTTGTGTGTGTTCTGTGCCTTCTTAGGTGGAGGGGGTTGGGTCCACTCTGTCTCTTTTTCAGCTTCTGGTAACCGTCTGGCCTGGGTCAGCCATGACAGTACTGTCACAGTGGTGGACAGCTCTAAGACTGCCAGGTATGTTTAGTTGTTACCTGTATTCTTCTAAAATACACATGGTTTACTCATTCTTTATATAAGAAGTCAGAATTAAAGCTGACTTCTTATATAAATATATATATAATTATATACACAATTATATATAATG